TTTTAAAGATGCGAACTAAGGACCGAAAGGTACATCAGTTATTCCACTACAATAATGAACTAGCTTTGTAAGCCATGTAAACACAAGCACGTGATTTCCCTGATGTATGCCTGACCTATTTTAACTTGTGTATAGTTCTGCTTTAATGTAAAAACGATGAACTTTGTCATGAACCATGATATTTGAATTGAAAGGTCGTAAAATGAATAGATAAGGACTAGTATTACAACATATCTGTCAATAGAGAGGGACTAGTATTACAACATATCTGTTAACAGTGAAGAACTAGTATTACCAAATACCAGTCAATAGAGAAGAACTACTATTACAACATATCTATCAATAGAGATAAACTACTATTACAACATATCTGTCAATAGAGAGGGACTAGTATTACAACATATCTGTCAATAAAGAAGAGCTAGTATTACAACATTTCTGTCAATAGAGAAGAACTAGTATTACAACATATCTGTCGAAAGAGAGGGACAAGTATTACAACATATCTGTCAATAGAGAAGAACTAGTATTACAACATATCTGTCAATAGAGAAGAACTAGTATTACAACATATCTGTCAATAGAGAGGGACTAGTATTACAACATATCTGTCAATAGAGAAGAACTAGTATTACAACATATCTGTCAATAGAGAAGAACTACTATTACAACATATCTGTCAATAGAGAAGAACTACTATTACAACATATCTGTCAATAGAGAGGGACTAGTATTACAACATATCTGTCGAAAGAGAGGGACAAGTATTACAACATATCTGTCAATAGAGAAGAACTAGTATTACAACATATCTGTCAATAGAGAAGAACTAGTATTACAACATATCTGTCAATAGAGAAGAACTAGTATAACAACATATCTGTCAATAGAGAGGGACTAATATTACAAAATATCTGTCAATAGAGATAACTAGTATTACCAAATATGATCAAGTTGCTGTAGGTGATATTTCAAATCGTAGTAAATGTATATATAAATAATATTGATATTTATTGAGTGAAAATGCTTTATATTAGGTCGTCAAGAAATTAATGTCGCTTTTTTTAGATGAAAAAACCCGAACAACTTATACATCAAAACAAAACATTTATTAAAATGAAATAGTATCCATTCTTATCGATGATGCTTTTCCATCTTACAATCAGGTTTTTAATGCCCTGATTAGGGAAATCACTTGGCTCTGAAGAAAAAAAACAAAAAAAAACATGTCGATGCATACGTTTTCCCATTAATATGGTGTTGTAGCAAACAGAAAAGATGGTAATCTGATGGTGCCATATCTGGAGAATATGGTGGGTGGAGGAGACCTTCCCCACCCAACTCCATAATCTTGTGTTGCGTCAAACGTGCCACATGTGAACGTGCATTGTCGTGGAGAAGAATAACACCTTTCGAATGAACGAGTGAAGGGCTTGATTTAAACGTTCCAGTTGCTGACTATATATCTCTGCTTTGACAGTTCGCTGTGGATTGAGGAGTTCGAAATGAATTACTCCTTTGATGTCCCACCAAATGCAAAGCATCACTATCTGCGGATGGATTCCAGGTTTTGGGGTCGGAAATGGTTTTGTGTAGGACTGAGCCATTGTTTTTGGCATTTAATATTCGCATAGAGAATCCATTTTTCATCAACGGTGACAATTCTGTCCAAAAATGGTTCACGCGAGAAGAGACAAGCAACGCTCACACGTTGGAAACGATGATCATCGGAGAGTTCGACAGGCACCCAAACACCTTCTTTATGGAGTTTTCCCATATTGCTTTGATGTTTGCGTATTGTTTCATGCCAGACAAACAATTTCAAGGCCATTTCACGGATGTGTTGTTTTGGGTTAGACTAAACAAGCGTCTTTAGTGCATCATTATCAATTCCAACATGTCGGCCCCTGCTATCACACTTTTTAAAGCTAAAGTCACTTGAATGAAATTTGCTGAACTATCGTTGACACTTGAGAACGTTCAAAACATTTCCATAAACCTCTATGATATTATTTGTGGCTACAGAGCCATTGTTTTCCTTCTTGAATTTAAACAGTGTCTAGTCGTGTACCATCATTATAAGGGATTATACTAAACTTTACACATTATACAGGCTACACTAAAGTGACGTTCAGGCGATTCGTTTAACTATGATATGTGATATACGTTTTTTTTTGGGGGGTGGTGGTTAATGAAAGTGTTCCAAAAACCCAGCCACTGGGGGTGCAAGCCAGCACAACTCGGTGCCGGTCCAAAGCCCCGATAAATGGGGATGGTTGGCGTCAGGAAAGGCATCCGGCCGTAAAAACCCTGCCAAATCTAAAAACTGACAGTTCATTTGAATGTAGCGAAGTTCACAGTAACAGTTGGACTTCACCAAGGCTCTTCTCTAAGCCCGTACATCTTCCACGTGATAATGGATGTGCTGGGCCAAGGGATCATCGAACCAGCACCTTGGGACATGTTATTTGCAGATGACATAGTCCTCATAAATACCACCAGGGAGGGAGTAGAGCAGAAATTGGAGAGATGGTGGACAGAGGACTTAAGGTCAGTAGAGAGAAGACGGAGTATATGGTTTTTAATGGAGAAGAGGAAATGGGGGATGTTACTTTATTTAACGATAAACTTAAAAGGATAAACACCTTTAACTATCTTGGGTCCTATGTGGCATC